GGCAATCATCATTGCGGGGTTTCTTGGGTGGTGCGAAATGGATTTCGTCCATCCACAGTAGCTCACTAGTATTTTGGCGTGTCTTTTTTTTGGGGCACGCCAAAACAACACATGTGGCGGTTTTCCGCTCGGTTTCGCTTTGAGCCAGCGAAGAAGGCAGATGGATCGCTACGGCAACTTTTACCCCGATTCACGACCCCAACCGCAAAAGGTGCTGGGTTCCCAGGATTCACCCGCCCACAAGACGTTGATTCTTTTTTTTTTTGTGTGTGTGGTGGTGTTTTCACCTGGGTGGCGGTCCATCTGGGAGTTGTTGTTTTTTTTGCTGGGAGCCAGAGCTCTTGGCTTAAGCCTTTGTAGCTTTCTGCCAACCCGGGGTCTGTGCACTTCCGTGATTGGAGGGTGCCTAAAATGACTGGGTGGACTCCCGGCTTTTTTTGGGCAGCCTACAGGTGGGTTATAGCCCAGGTTATCAACAGCTTTCCAAGTTGGCCGAACTGGGGATACCCCTCTTAGAACGATAGCCTTGCCAGCCTTGCGAAGCTGGTCGAACACCCGAGCAGCACATTGTTCATGGGTTTTCAATGGAGGTCAGGAACACCATCTTTTGGGTGGTTTTCAAGGGAAGTCAAAAGGAAAATATGTTTTCCGGTTTAATGTACCCCTGTTTATTAGTATGGGGCAAAAGTGATGCCACCCAATTCATATCTGGGGTTCCCAATACTAAGCTGGTTGAACACAGCAGCATTTCACCTTTTGGGACATCAAGGGGGGTTGTCCGTTTTAAGCCCACAAAAACAGTCATTACCACTTTTTTGCAGGGGGTCAACAGCAACAACGTTTTTCCACCCCAACTTTACAAAGTCTTCCCCCCAAATTTTGGGGGCGTGTTTTCTCCCCCCTTTGGGGCTCGGACTTTTCGCGCTCGGCCCGGATCCCCGGCTCGGGCGGCTCCACCCGGGGCGGCCACTCTCAGGCCGGAGCATGACGGTGGCCAGCTCACCGCCTTCGGCCGGCCCGGGCCCCGAAAAACTGAAGACCGAAGATCGGAGCGCTGGTTCTCCGCGCGCGGGGAGAACGCGCGAAGGACGTGGTGCGGCCAGACCTTTCCCCCCCCCCGTGTTGGGGCGGGGCATGGGGGGGGGCCTGGGGATTTATTTCTTCACCCAAAAGGGGGGCACCCTCAAAAAAGGTTTTTTTTTTTTTTTATTGGGGTTGGGCTCTGTGTTTGGGGTACGCCTTTTTTGTGGGTGGTCTGGTTTAGGGTTGGCTCAGGACGCCTAATTTGGTTCAATGGCACCCCTTGAATTCTTAAATGTCCGAGCGCAGGTCCGGGAATCCCAACCCGAGCCCGTACCCCTTGGTATGTGGATTTGACGGAAAAAACTAAATCAGCGCCAATTCGACTTCGGGTGTCGTGGGAAAGAGCAAAGCAGACAAGGCGGGGATCCTTTGCGGATGCTTCAAAAGAGGCGATCGATTCAATGGACGCCACCATGGAATTGATCGGCTTTTGATTCGGGGAAATCCTGGCAGCCCCTGAAAGAAGTGCCGCAGGCTGGAGAAAAGCTCACTTCCTGAGTTCTTAAACTGTTTGGGCAGACCATTTTAGTGGTAAACAAGCAGTTAGTACTTGTTTCGACCAATCCACTCAGGAAGTGAGAAAAGGGTGCCACGAAAAGCTTAGGCCCCATGCCTTTTCGGACGCTACGTGGAAGTATCCCAGTATCCCGGTATCCCGTCCAGTAAGTCCTCTTTCATTTTTTATTGGGGGAGGGGAACCAGCACTAGTAGAAGCCAGCATGTCCTACAGTGGACAAACTCCGAATGGATGAAACCCGACTGGAAAGCTGATTGATAAGTCAGATTCCATTTGGTGCAGAATTTGGTCCATCCACAGTAGTAAAAACAAAAGCACCTCGATTGAGGCGGGTTCTTTAAAATCAACAGGACAACACATGCGGCTCGGGTTTTCGAGCTATGCGAGCAACCGTTGGTCAAGAGTTGGGTTTCCCGATCCGACCTGAACCTTCCAACTCACCTTTGGGAATGTCTCATGAGAGGACTATGGGTTTGAGTTCCCAGCCGTACTTCACCCAGGTACCTGTCAGGTATTGGGGTACCTGTCTCAGAAATTTCTCGTACTAGTAACTTGATACTTCCCAGCCGTTTGGGTTTGAGGTTGGGTTTGGGGCTTCCATCCAACCCTCAAAGTTGCAAGCTTAACTGGCAGCCCAGTTAAGTACCCTCCCTCCACGACAGTCCTCTTAGCCGCGTGTGCCATGCTCAAACCACCCCTTTGCTTGGGGTTAACAGGGATGGTCATCCACCTGGAAGTAAGGATCCTTAATTACCCTCATAATGATTCCTTCAAAGCGAGCTTTGACCATGGCACATGACCATGGCACATATCCACTTCCATTGTTGGAAGGAAGGGACGCTTCCAACCACTCTCAGGATACCAGTTTGTTGGGGAAGAAATCGTCCATTTGCTGAAAGGAACCTGTTTTGCATTTTTCCCTTGTCGGTTTTGCATGGAAACGATTTCACTACAATAGGTTTTCTTCTTCTTCTTCTTTTTAAGCAAATGGTTCCAAAAGCAAATAGTAGAGACATGCTGACACGAGCCCAAGGAAGCTGCCGAGCCGCACGAGCCGCGAGAAGCGTCCGCTTGCGCGAGGCACCGGCTCATGGTCTTCGCGCCCTCGAAGGGCCAGCCGCAGAAGGATGCCGCGGAGGCGTCGGCTTTTCGTTCGGTTGGAAGGTTGGAAGGGGAGGGGAGGGGTTGGGGGCCCTGAAATCCATCCATTTTTGGGCGCCACGGCCCAGGAATCTCTCATCCCATTTTTTTTTTGCTAAATCAAGATCAAATCCCATTCTGTGGGTCTCCTACTTCTCCGGGCAACCTTGGTGGAAGTGGTTCTTCCCTCGGAAGGTCCCAAAAAAAGGTCTGTGAATTGTAGACCTTATGGGTCTGTCCTTTTTTGTGAGGGTGCCCCATTTGACACAATTCACCTCGCAGTACTTGAGGGCGCAGCCGGGTGTCTCAAAACTTAGGTGACCCCAAGAAAAGAGG